GGGCATCCTTCTCAAGCAGCTCGTCTCGCTCCTTCAGAATCCTGGCGGCTTCTTCCTCTTCAAGCTTCGACCTCGCCTTCAGGTCCTCGAACATCCCGTGGATCTCCTCCATGTCCCGACACGCCTCGGCCTCCCACTCCTTGGCAGCAACAAGCTGCGCGGCCATATCTGCTCCACAACCAGCCTCTCTTGGAAGGCGGTCCCACTCCACTTTTTGCTCACGGAGGAAACGGGACTTATCCCGGCTACGAGCAGCGATAATCTGCAAATGGAAACCAATATCAGAAGTTCGAAAAACACAAAAGCATATGAAGAAAGAAGAAAACAACGAGGAAGATCAAACCGATACCCGGGTCGTGGGAACAAAGACCTCGCGCAGAACTTCTCTGGCCTGGTTCAGAGCCTCCATCATGCTCGAGATCCCGAGGTCAAGGCTCTCCCGCTCCATGCTCTCGGCATGATCGTCAAGCGAGAGGGCAACCGACGAGGGATCCCGAGGGGACATCCACTGGAGCGGCGGCCCCACCCGCACGGGGGAGCGCACGCCTCCCGACAAGGGGGCCGGGGGCGACTCCCTCCTCCTCCTATGCGCCACCACCATGACGTTCGACGACCCTCCGGCGGTGCCCTCCTCCATCTGGCCCGCCTCGTCCGCCGCTGCCTGGGTCACCGGTGGCACCGACTGCTCCTCACCCTCGGACGCCAACGTGGCAACATCCAACCCCACCGGGCTCGGAGTGGTCGCGGCCATCTCCACTTGGGTCTCCGGTGGCGCGAATTCTGCTCCGCCCTCCGACACCACCCCCGTCGGTGGCGTAGGATCCACGACCGGCTGTACCGCACCCACCGCAGAAGATACCGCCGGCTCGACAACCACCGAGGGCGCGGGCTCCACCACAGGCACCGTCGGATCAGCCAGCACGGCCTCAACATCGGCGCCGTTCCTGCCCAAAACAGGGGCGACGTCGGGCAGCACCAACCGTCCCGCCTGAATGGCGAGACTCTTCTTGGGCGCCAGCCCCAGGGAGTGGCCCGTCCGCAAAAACCTACGCAAAGGTAAGAGGCGTCAGGTCAAAGATAGAAAGGTAAAAAGGATGAAAAAACACGGAATCAACGGCTTACGCTACGGACGCCTTTGGCGTCGGAAGCGCTTTTGGGGACGAACCCCTGTGTCCTTGCCCCAACTCGTCTCAGACGGGCCTTTTCGAGCCTACCCCCGCCCGGAGGCGGGGGCTCGCCTCCTTACCACAGGGGGCACGGCGCCGAGTCGCCCTCTCCACCATCACCGCAGGATCGGCGGCGGCAGCCCGCCTTCCTCCTCCCACCCGATCCGGCCGAACGCCGTGCATGGCGGACTCTCGGCTTCCACCAACTCGCTTCCTCCGCGTGGAACGCCAAGGTCCCGCAGGGCGGATTGGCACCGTCAGCATGTCCTCATCCTCCGGGATGCCCCAATCCACGCCGGCGGCTACTCTCGCCACATCGTCATCATCATCGCCGCCACGTCTTCCCTCGATCCGTGCTTCTTGCTTCACTTGCTCTCCTTCTTCTTTACGCTCCCTTGCCTTCTCGCTCCATTCGGCACCAAGAAGACGATTCGCAGCCGCCACGGCCGGATCCCCTCAAGATCGAGCAAGACAGTCTTTGAAGGAAAGCCTCCTCGGCCGTCCCGAACACCCAAAAATAAAAAATCGAAATACGGAGATATTGGCAAAAGAAGGAGCAAGGAAAAGAAGGCTTATTTAATTCAAAGAACCCGTGTTCCGGCCAGATTGGGGGATGTCCGCACCGGATATACAATGTCTAGGACATCACCAGCAGAATCCTTCGTCGGCTCCGTCGCCGCCTCCTTAACGCACCGCGACACTTCGAATAAGGGAGCGCTCGTCAACGAGCACCGTCCCCTCGAACGACATCTCGGGCATCATCCGATACAGGGGAAGCGCACGCGCCATCAACGGCACCACCCTCCTCGCATGATAGTCTCCAATAATCCCCACCCCCTTTATGCCCCAATCCATCAGAGCTCGAAGGGCGGTGAGAAGGTCGTCAAGGTGCTTCTTGTCCTTTCGCTGGACGCCCCAACCCCATGACTCTAGGGCCTCTTCGATCAAAGCGCCTGTGTAATTTAGGAAGTGGTAGCACTCAGTCATCCCGACGTAAAACCATCGCGAAGTGCCATCCCTTGTTCGAGGTCACCAGACGCATGAGCGGGTAATCCTTCGACCGGGTAGGGCGCAGATGAATGCTGGCACATCCCATCGGCACATTCACCTCCTTCCCCCCGACCCGCCTCTTCGACAAACTAACGGTGAAAAAATATCACCACAGATCGAAATGGGGATCGATCCCTAGGAAACCCTCGCACAGGGCAACGAACGCCGCCATGTGTTGAACCCCATTAGGAGTCAGATGCTGCAGCTCCACCTCATAATAATCCAGCAGCCCCCGAAGGAACCTATGCGCGGGTACCCCGAACCCCCGCTCATGGAAGATGGCAAAAGAGACGATATACCCTTCAGGCGGCACCGGCTCACCCTCGTCGCCAGGTAGCAACCACTCCCGAACGGCGGACAGTGGGCGGAGAAGGCCACGACGGACGAGGCCCTCCAAACGCCGGGAGGTGATGCTTGATCTGCCCCATAACTCCATCACAGCAGTAGGGGGGAAGGGCAGGCGCGAGCTCGACGACGGCCGGAACACGAACGTAGGCCGGTCGATGGTGGTGATGCGGGCGCGAGAGGCTGGGACGATGGGCGGCGGATGTTTCAGAACGCAAAGGTAGGGGAGCGAAATACGGAACCCTAGGGGCGAACCCCGTGGTTTTATAGGGGGCGACGGACGTGAGAAGGGCAACCGTCCGCCTCGATCTCCGGGCCTGCCACGCGTGCCGCCGCGTCACGTCGCGGGACACACGCCCGCAGTCCCTATACTTTCACCCCAAAAATCTTGGCGGACGGATCGCCTTCCCCAGGCAAATCCGGACTCTCTTCCCACCCGGGGAAGCACGGGTCATAAAGGTTTGTTCTCTCTCTCTGGCCCACCTAGGGCCCGGAGGCTCGCTGGCCGGCCCAACTAAAAAAGGATCCGCGGACGATCCGAAATCAAGGGCAGAAGCACCAGTTAGGTCAGCCTCGAATCAGTTCCTAGCGAACGGAATACCACGACCCATTCGAAAAAATGACCGGTTGACGAAAAATTAAGTCCTTCAACCTTACCCGCGAAGAGACCGAAGAAAACCCCCGGATGATTCACCCCGAATCACCCGAGGGCTCGGGACTTACACATTCCACTGTGCGCCACGCGCGCACCCTCGTGAAAAGGTAACTCGGCGAGATCGAAGAAACCCCCCGGATGATTCATCCCGAATCACCCGAGGGCTCGGGGACTCACTGTCGGGGACCTAATACCGAGGTACCCCAAAGAGGAGGAATCAATGCACCATCGAACGGTAAAACTCCCGAGAGCGCCGGGTCAGATCTCTTGCCCGAGCAAACAGGAGTCTTGCTCCGCCGCCCCGACCCCCGAGGGTTGGGCTCGGCTCCGCCCACGACGGCCGGAGGACAACTCTCGCCCGCCCGACGGCAATTTGGATAACAACTCACCCGACTTCAAGGGATACACTCACCGCTTTGACCCCGAGGGCTAGGCTCAGCCTCGCCCGACGGCCGGGGACACCTCCGCTCACGCCCGACGGTAAAAGCTAGGTTTTACCTCATCCAACGACCACCGACGGACCTCGTCTTAAATCGATATCCGGAGGTGGTTCAGCTCACTGACGAAACGCGTACCCGCATCCTCATGATGGCGACTACGTGGTAAGACAAGACATTCGGGTCAACCATCATGGTAGACGCCATGCCTCACACCGCAGAGAGGTACCGTCCGATGTGGCGAGCCAAGCACCGACCTCTCCAGCGTGGCGAGCCTCGAACAGTGTTAAGGCGCTCGCTATCCATCCTACAAGATTGTAGGCGCCACCGCAACCTCCGGACGAAGAACCCGACACACGGACATACGACAACCACTACGCTCCAAGGGCAAACCAACAATACCACGCCGCCACCCGACCCCCTCGGGGTCGGGGCTCGGCAAATCCTGTCCGACACGCCACCCGGAGGGGCAGGATGGGACATACCCACTTGCTAAACAGTGGCCATGGCACGGCCCATGATGATCTGATCACCTCACTCGACATGGCTCGCCATGATGGATAGGTCGTGGGGAAGAAGGAAGGCCCGGGTCCCTCAAGGACCTTCACGCCCTTAGTGCTCTTTTTTCCTTTGTCTGTAAACCCTGCTCCCCCTTGACCTATAAAAGGGAGGGCAGGGCTCCCCACTAAAGGGGGGGGATCGATTCTAAACAGGTTAACACACACACACGCACCACACGGCCAAGCTCCAGCAGAGCTCTTGGCGTCCTTCCAATCACTCCATCAGGGACTTGGGGTCTTTCACTCTCCCAACCGTTTGTACCCCCTACTACGAACCTCATTCAGTGCTAATAACACGAGCAGCAACAGACTGGACGTAGGGACATTCGGCTCGAACCAGTATAACCCTTGTGTCCTTTAGCGCACCATCCGGGCCTAACGCGCATCAATTACAAATTTACTCGCCGGTGTTTGTTCGAAACACCGACATCCTGTTTCTCAGGCTCTCTTCCCTTTCGCGGACTGCTTTCAAGATCCGGTTCTCTCTCCTTCTCGTTACTCTGTCTCTCCCCTTCTCCTCTGCCTCCACATCTCCTTCTACCTGATTTCAGATGCAAGGACAGCGTTGAGATGTATCGCTTCGTTGATTAATTGCACGAATCCAAGCTTTAACATCGCAATCAAGGTTCGCATTCCGTTCAACTCCGATTAATCTATCATACATTTGTACATTGATCAAAATTTGAAGAGAAAACTCGAGTTTTTAATCCATGTTCCAATTATTATTCTTGATGATATCAGATCGGTTGATCGCATCGACAAGAGGCCGAGAGGGGCGAGGTTTGCAATGGCGAACAAGGCCAGCTCGGGGGCGCCGAGCCCGCTGAGCCTGGTGGTTGCCATGGCGCTGTGCTGCTTCTTCTACGTGCTCGGCGGGTGGCAGCGCAGCGGGTACGGCAAGGGCGACCGCATCGCCGCCGCCGTGAGCCAGCAGACGGCGTGCGGCGACGGGTCCAACGGCGCTGCCGCGGTAGGGCTCAGCTTCGAGACGCACCACGGCGGCACAGCGGGCATCAACACGTCGACGTCGCTACCCTTCGGGGCCGACGTTTGCGCCGTGCGCGGCGGCGCTGGTGGACCACACGCCGTGCCACGACCAGAACCACGCCATGAGGTTCCAGCGAAAGAACATGGTGTACTGGGAGCGGCACTGCCCCGCCGATGGCGAGCGGCTGCGGTGCCTGGTACGGCCCCACCCAGCTACGTGATGCCGTTCCCGTGGCCCCGGAGCCGCGACTACGTGCCATTCGCCAACGCGCCGTACAAGAGCCTCAACATCGAGAAGGCCATCCAGAACTGGGTCCAGTACAAGGGCGCCATGTTCCGCTTCCCCGGCGGCGGCACGCAGTTCCCGCAAGGCGCCGATAAGTACATCGACCAGCTCTGATCCGTCGTCCTCTTCGCCGGTGGCCACGTCCGCACCGTCCTCGACACCGGATGCGGCGTAAGCACCTGTTATGGCCAAGGCCTCATCGACGCCCAAATCATGGTTACCCTCCTGATCGATCACCTCGATGTCCGTCTGTGTAGGTGGCGAGCCTCGGCGCGTACCTGGACGCCCGCTGCGTGATCGCCATGTCCTTCGCGCCGCGCGATTCGCACGAGGCGCGGGTTCAGTTCGTGCTGGAGCGCGGCGTCCTCATCTCCGTCAAGCTCCCGTTCCCGCCGCGCTCCTTCGACATGGCGCACTGCTCCCGGTGCCTCATCCCTTGGGGTGGCAACGGTGAGTGACGTCGTCTCCTCCTCGGTCCTCGCACGGCAGGGATGGCCATGGCCTCGGATGCACAAGAAGTCAAGAACTCTGACATGTTGCGTTCGTGCAGACGGGATGTACATGATGGAGATCGACCGCGTGCTCCGGCCGGGCGGCTACTGGGTGCTCTCTGGCCCGCCGATCAACTGGAAGACGAACCACAAGGACCTCTCTGCCGAGCAGCAGCAGATCGAGGAGTACGCCGCCATGCTCTGCTGGGAGAAGGTCACCGAGATCCGCGAGATCGGCATCTGGCGGAAGCAGCTCGACCCCTCCGCCACGTGCCCCGCCAGGCCACCGGTCTGGACGTGCGACGACGCTAACCACTGCTCGAAACGGGATCTTTGCCGAGTGCAAACTGCTTTGCTAAGTGTTAAAAATAGAGCACTTGACAAAGACCTTCTTTGCCGAGTGCCACACTCGGCAAAGAATTGCACTCGGTAAAGAGTTCTTTGCTGAGTGCCAGGCACTCGGCAAAAAAGGCTCTCGGCAAAGGACTTCTTTGCCGAGTGCCAGGCTCTCGGCAAAAGCATGGCACTCGGCATAGGCTGCCCCGCGTAACGGTGTTCGGCCACGTCCTTCTTTGCCGAGTGCCTGCTGTTAGGCATTTGGTAAAGAAGGTTTTTTTTTTAAAAATACTTTGCCGAGTGTCCCAGATCTGACACTCGGCAAAGATTTTTTTTTTTGAAAAATACTTTGCCGAGTGCCCCTGACACGGTGCTCGGCAAAGAATTGTTTTTTCGAAATGTCTTTGCCGAGTGCCCCTGTGCAGGCACTCGGCAAAGAGGAAATTTTTTTTAAAAAAAATCAAAACCCTCTTTGCCGAGTGCCTTATTCTTGGCACTCGGCAAAGACCCCCTTTGCCGAGTGCCATGCCCCGGCACTCGGCAAAGTTTTTTTTTTTGCCTCCAAATTTTTTGCGCAGCCCTTTTAAAGTACCAGGAACTCCTGGTTAGAATTTGGAGATTTTTTGTGGCTTTTTGATATATTTAGTTACTTTATTTCGTTTACTTGATTTTTTTCGAAAAATATAAATTTGAACTGCACGTGGTACGAATAATTGAATTTAATGATTCAAAAAATGATAGTCATGTTCCTGAGTATAGTGTGAGGCCATATCCAGGAACGGACATGAAATTTCAAACATTTTGTTCACGAAACATGACCGCGAACATGCGTGCGAAGTGTTTTTAAATTCTATAAAAAGCAAACGAAGTCCGAAAATCATGAAACTTGTTCAGATGTCGTGATATCGTAGGTGGAGGCTATGATAAAAATTTGAGAATGTTTGGTGCACGTTGTCACGTACGATGCTTACAAACCAGGACATCTCCACATGTGATATCTGATATGGTGAGCAACATATGTGGACTCATATCTCGGGCATGACGAGGCTCCCCTATTTCGATGACCTTCTTCTGCCACATAACAATGATGTAATACACACTGAAAAGAATATCGCCGAGGCACTTTGGGCAACACACATGGACACTGAAAAGTCTAAGGACAACCCTAAGGCTAGAGTGGACCTGGCAACGTTGTACGATAGACCAAATTAAGAGATAAAGCCTCCTAGTCGTGGCAAGACCTAGAAAAGGCCTAAGGCCGATTTCGTCTTGAAAAAGGACCAAAGGAGGGAAGTACTTGAATGGATCAAGACGCTAATGTTTCCTGATGGGTATGCAGTGAATCTAAGATGGGAGTGAACTTAGGCACTCTACGAGTCAACGGGATGAAGAGTCATGACTACCACATATAGATTGAGCGGCTTCTTCTGGCGATGGTTCGAGGCTATGTCCCGGAGCATGTCTGGCAAGTGCTGGCAGAGTTGAGCTACTTATTCCACCAGCTTTGTGCCAAGGAGCTCTCTCGGACCGTCATTGATGACTTGAAAAAAGTGGCACCCGTGTTGCTCTGTAAGTTGGAGAAGATCTTTCCACCCGGCTTCTTCTTGCCGATGCAGCATTTGATTGTGCACCTCTCGTGTGAGGCACGGATGGGGGGGGGCCGTGCAGAACTGTTGGTGCTATCCAATCGAGAGATGTCTGAAGACTTTTCGCAAAAAATGTAGAAATAAAGCCAAAATTGAGGCTTCCATTGCAGAGGCATACATTCTAGAGGAGGTGTCGAACTTCACAGAGAAATACTACACTGAGAAACTTCCTAGCATTTATAATTCACCCCCTCGTTACAATGCTGGCGAAAATGAATCGAACCTCAGCCTTTTCCAAGGGCAACTCGAAAGCGCAAGTGCATCAACCACTAAGCAATTGAAAAATGAAGAGTGGCGCAGTATCATGCTATTTATGTTGACCAACCTTGTCGAGGTGCAGCCGTTCATTGGGTAAGTTCTGAACGAACTTGTTTTATTTCATCATATGTCCTTGTTTCTTTGTCCAACCCCCTTGTTTCTCGTTGGTACAGGGAATTTCTTTGTCAATCCTAGCATGGATCAAGGCAACCTAGCCCACAAGAAAATGATACCCTTCTTTCACAGGGTGCGGGACCAGGGAGCCCCGATTTTATTTGTTGGTTCAAACAGAAAGCCCAAACTGATGCACCTATAAGTGACGAGCTGAGACAGGTTGCAAACGGCTGTGTCATTAGGGTCAAGTCATTTACCGGTTATGACATGAATGGATATCATTTTCACACAGCAAGCTATGAGCAGAGTTGGCCCAATCGAAAAACCACAAACAGTGGAGTTGTTATGCCCGACACTGATGGACTCGACTATTATAGAAGAATTGAAGAAATCTACGAACTATCATTCTATGGTTCCAAACCTCTTACTCCTGTCATATTCAAATGCCACTGGTTTCATCCTGGAGTAACAAGATGGACCCCTAAGCTTGGGCTAGTCGAGATTCGACAATATTTCGTCTACCCAGGAAAAGATGTCTACATTGTGGCTTAACAGGCTGTCCAGGTTTATTATACGTCATACGCGTGCAAAGACACCGAGCATCTTAAGGGTTGGTCTATTGTGCACAAGGTATCGCCACACGGTAAACTACTTGTCCCAAATGATGAAGATTACAACTTCAACCCAAACACATATGATGGAGTTCTATCAAGAAGAGGGACTACAAGGGAGGTTTGACATAGACTTAACCGAAGAGATAGGAATGAAAGTAGACAATGAAAGGGATGATGACGAGGACGCTGGAGACGAGGTGCGAAATCTGAAGGACATACAAATGCTTGAGCGATTACGTTTAGGCAATGACAATGAAGACAACATTCCTATTTCGGATAGTGTTGATGAGTTGGACAATATTGATAGTGATGACGAGACCTATGATCCAGCTAATCTCAATCATGAAGATTATTTCTAATACATGTAATATTATGTTTTTTGTAATTATGTTTTGTTCATTTTTGCAAATATTTCTAATACATGTATTACTATGTTTTTTGTAATTATGTTTTGTTCATTTTTGCACCTACTTCTAATTACGTCTTGTTTTTCTTTTTATTACAGGTGATTGAACAAAGATGGCAGGCGACCGTCATAGGTCTGTGAACTCGATTTACCAAAGACCACGCCGGCTGTAGGAGGAGACGGAGGGGCGGCGGAGGGTTCGGAAAGGAGGAGGAGGAGGACCGCCAAACGCAGGAGGGGGTCGTCTCCTCCCACGCTGCATGAGGAGGAGCTGGAGGAGGAGGTGGCGCCCGTGGACGAGTCGGACAATGAGTTGGTTCGGCAGATGGACGAGGAGGAGGGGCCGCACGAGGACGACGAGTTGGAGGCAGCAGGCACGGGTTCCACTTCCTCTGACTCCTCTTCGAGTGTCTACTTGCGAGGTCCCACGAGCCTCCCACAGGTTCCGCTTCCTCACCAACGCCCAGTAATTCACCCCGAAGGGCAAAAGTAAGTAACTTTATATGTTATCACCACTACTTCATATGATATGATGAAAAAAACTAATAATTTTTCTTAATCACTTGTGCAGGAACTGGGTGGTTGTGTCGGGTGGTAGCGCACGGCTAGTCAACGGCATCCTGGGTCTTCTGTGCAGGCAACACTTCCCCGACATTGTCACGTATGCATCGAAGACGGAGCCAGCCTACTTGTTTGACCACTATGCCATCGCCACCGATGCGGAGTACCCCAACAAGGTGGCGTGGGTGAAGGCAGAGTTTTGGGTAAGTCTTCCCCGCACAACATTGCTCATTACGTTGCATTCATTAGACTTTTCTTGAAATAATGAATGGATACATCTTGTATGCAGACTTTTTACAGATGCGAGGAGGGATTTGAGGCCAGGGCGGAGCAGGTGACTACCAAAGCCTATAAAAAACTCGTCACTGACATGCATCATGAGGTGCGCATCCAGGCCATCGTAACCTACTACGGGTCGAAGCTTGGAGAGAGGAAAACCAAGAAAGACGCAAGAGAGATGCAGCTTACCCAGGAGCAGTACCTTGAGATAAATGAAGAACATCAATATTGATTCGTTTTGAGATTAAGTTGGTTTAATTTGATCTTCTTATATGTCCAATACTTGATGACGTGTAGATGATTCCCTGGTGGTGCCAAGCGTATCCCGAGTGCTGGGCGATGATGGTGGAGAGGTGGTTCATGGAGGAGTACCTCAAGATACACAGGGATGCCCGAGACCGTCATTTACAGATGCAAGGTCCAGCACACCATCAAGGCAGCCGTAGCCTTGCCGGATACAAACAAGTATGGGTACGCGAATTCATTTATCTATTGTGATGCTTAGTTCTGCCTGATTTCTAATCATCATGCTGTCTTTCTTGCAATCGGCGTCACATATTGGCCAGGCTTGCTCGGACTTCTAGGCATGGTGTATGGCCCACAAGGGCAAGGCGACGTCCGACGTCTCCTTCAACCTAGAGGATCCGCCCGAGGCATACACGAACCCGAGCGTCCACTCCCGCATCAGTGAGTACACTGAGGTGGCAAGGTCGCTCCATGGGTCAGACCACAATCCGAGCACCCAGGACTTCGATGGAGAGGCCGTCATGAGGGCAGGGCAAGGCAAGAAGCACGGGCGGTTCTAGCTTGGCGACGACATCATCGACACGGCATCTACTCCCTCTCTCTCCCAGATCTGAGCACGGAGCACAAGCGAGAGCCCGACCATTCGCACACGGCCGACCGCTGCACAGCACCGGGTCGACGCACTCGAGGTTATTCCTGTTTTACTCGTCATACATTGATCTTTACACACCTTAATTAGCTTTGCATTACTGAAACATTGGAGTGAAATATTGCAGGCCTGGCTGTAACAAGAAATGAGGCAACGTCTGTGAGGCTGAGGCCGGGCACTGTGAGGATGGCGGCCCGGTGGAGGCCGAAGCGGGCCGAAAGGGCAGCCCAGCGCAGAGGCTGACGGACATTACGGAGTTTCTACAAGGGCTTGGGCAACGTGTGGGCTTCTCTCTGCCAGCTGGGCTGTTGGTTCCACCTCTGCCTCCGCGTCCTGCAGCTCCAGCTACTCCTGTGAGTATGAAAGTTTTTTACTTTCACTTGTGCTTTGCTTGTATGGCCTCTACCTTCCTAGATTAGCTATCCAAATAATCTTGTCTCACATGCGATCTTTTCTTCTTTGTGCAGTCTCCATCTGACGGTGGTTCGAATAATCCACCTCATGTACCTCCGAATGATGGAACTGGGCCTTCACCACAGTCGCAGTGACCGAGATGAGTGCACGTTGTATTTTTTTTCATTTGTTGTTCACTTGGTGATGGACTTGTGATATACTTGTGATGCACTTGTGGACTTTGATGGACTTGTGGATTTATTTGGATGGACTTGAGCACTTATTATTATATATGTGATATATATTGTGATGGATGTGATATGTGCGGATGGATGTGTGGATGGATGAGATATATATGTGATGAATGAGATATATATGTGATGGATGAGATATATGATTGTATGAATTTATTTGTCATGATGGAATGTAAAAAAAATAAAAATTGCCATTTTGGGTCACTTTGCCGAGTGTTGCACTCGGCAAAGGACCCCGTTGCCGAGTGTCATGGTCACAGCACTCGGCAAAGCTGGAAAATGGGCGCTCGGAAAACCATTTTTCTAGCTTTGCCGAGTGCCATAACCATGGCACTCGGCAAAGATTTTTTAAAAAAAAAATCAAACTTTGCCGAGTGCCGACAAGAGGGCACTCGACAAAGAATTTTTTTTAAAAAAAATTCAAACTTTGCCGAGTGCCGGCCAGTGGGCACTCGGCAAAGAATTTTTTTTAAAAAAATTCAAACTTTGCCGAGTGCCGGCCAGAGGGCACTCGGCAAAGAATTTTTTTTTAAAAAAAATCAAACTTTGCCGAGTGCCGGCCAGAGGGCACTCGGCAAAGAATTTTAAAAAAAATTCAAACTTTGCCGAGTGCCGGCCAGAGGGCCCTCGGCAAAGAATTTTTTTAAAAAAAAAATAAAAAATCTTTGCCGAGTGCCTGCAGGGTTGGCACTCGGCAAAGCCACCGTCAACGGGGCCGGCGCCGTGACGGCCGCTTTTCTTTGCCGAGTGCCCCCGGGACTCTCGGCAAAGAGGGCTTTGCCGATCAATTTTTTGCCGTGTGTTCTTTACCAAGTGCCGCACTCGGTAAAGGCTTTGTCGAGTGCAATTTGGCCTTTGCCGAGTGCCTCAGGCACTCGGCAAAGAACCTGAATCCAGTAATGAACCGTGACGACATCTGGTAAAAATTTCCACTTTCTTTCATCCCGAGATGGCTTCTGACCATTTGATTGACTTCTCGATTCGCTTCATCTTCATCAGGTACAAGAACATGGAGACCTGCATCACGTCGCCGGCGAGCTGCAGCTGTTCCCGGCGGGGCGGCTAACGGTCGTGCCGCCGCGGATATCGGCCGGTGCCGTGCCGGGATTCACGGCGGAGTCGTACGAGGAGGAGAACTGGCGGTGGGAGCGGCACGTGGCAGCGTACAAGAAGGTGAACTACAAGCTGAACAGCGAGCAGTACTGGAACATCATGGACATGAACGCCGGCGTGGGTGGGTTCGCGGCCGCGATCTTCTCGCCCAAGTCGTGGGTCATCAATGTGGTGCCGACGGCGGCCGAGCTCTCCACCCTCGGCGTGGTGTACGAGAGAGGGCTCATCGGCATGTACCATGACTGGTAGGTTCAGAGCATAGTGCCTTCTATCCTGCTGTCCATTCCCTGAATCATGATGGAAAAATCCTTGTCCTGAATCATGATGCAAATGGTTGTGATCTTTTTTTTTCTTTCACGAAACTTCATATTTCGTATGCAGCATTATTTCTCTAGCTTTCAATGATCTGAAGCAAGAATGCATCATACAAAAGTTTTTGTTTTAGCTTTTTGCTCTGCTTCCTCTTCAGGTGTGAGACTTTCTCAACTTACCCAAGAACATAGGATCTCATACATGCCAATGGCATCTTCACACTCTACAAGGACAGGTGAAATCAAAATGTGTTCATCTTTCTTTGTAATAAACTAATAATAAGAGAATGTTGTGAAAATCAAATTTTTTTCGTCATTTCACCTATATTGCTGCTTAGATGTAGTACCATACCAAATGGTGCAAATTGTGGTGTGTGTGACTGACAATATGGTCTCTGAACTTGGTGCAGCTGCAAAATGGAGGATATCCGGCTGGACATCGACCGGATTCTGCACCCCGAGGGGACCGTGATCCTCCAAGACGACGTCGAGATCCTGCTGAAGGTGCAGAGGAGAGTGAAGGGGATGCGGTGGAAAACGCTGTTGGCAAACCATGAGGACAGCCCCAACATACCTGAGAAGGTGCTCTTCGCTGTCAAGCGGTACTGGACAGCTACCGGCGAGGGCTCAGAGGAGGAGAAGAAGACAGTCAGCTCTTCAGTAGCAAGCAAGGATTCAGAGGAATAAATGGTGGGTGAGATGAGGCAGCACGATTTGGCGGTGGAGGTGGACGGGTGACTACTTTCAGTTTCTGTTGACTTTTCAGAATGTTTGGTAGAAGAATTGAGAAATTTTGTTTAGAGCGTAGAAGATGTAGAGTTTCAGCTACTTTGAATTTTGCAATTTTGCAGTAATGTTGTATCAATGCCATTGGATCAGATGTGGCTATTGTAGTCCATTTCTTTTTTATCAATCCAATGAGATTTTGATGTTGATTTCATAGATGTGATTGATCGAATTTTGATAGTCTATTTCTCCCCTCAATCGCGTGCTCACTGACCTTCGTATGCGATGAGCATCTAGATTGTTAGGGTTACATCTTTGACGTCACATAGTAGTATCTGGTTCTCCTCTTAACTTGTTTTTGGAGGAAATATTATGAATAGTGGCACAAATGTATATATGATTCATGTGTGTATTTTTTGGTGGCCAGCATGTCACATTAACCACAACCGGGTTGAGGTTGCTCATTCATTGTATAAAGACTTGTGATGTTTAATGTATAGATGTAACTCTTTTACTAGTTATTAGAAGTAGTAGCATATATAGTACTTCATAATGAAGCACTCAAGCATGATGTCTCAAAGTACTGGAAACTTGACAATGGAGATCACCATGAGAAAGGCCATACTGTATCACATTTAATGAGATTACCCTGTGATGTTTTTATTTTCATGTCATACTATTCTTTCGTGGTTTATATGTGGTAGAATACCTTCCCTTAGAAAAATTAAAACTTATAATTATTTTTATGCCCTTCCAATTGCTGCATCTACAAGGATTTGAGGTGTTCTAAGTAGCCTTGCTGACCTTACAACAACCCTAAATGAAAGAATCCTCAGTGTGGGAAAGATAAGTCACCATAGAAATTTTAGAAAATGCAAAAAGGGAAAGTAGAAAATTCAAAGGAAGTTCAAGTTCAAGTTCAAGTTATCTGTTTGCACACACTTGACTTGTAAACTCTTCCTGCTATAGTGACTTATCTTTCCCACACTGAGGATTTTCCCTTTCCATGCTAGATCTAAGCATCACATTCTTTTAAACATCATATCTTTTCCATGCTTTGTTGCTTACAATATAGCTTTTTTCTTCAGATAATGAAGGCACCATCATCAAAAGTGTAACCAATGGAAAATCAATTTTTTTCAAAAGGAGATTATGTGATAACTCATTTTGCACCAAGGAGTACAGCATAACAGCAGGCCAATATGATGGCACAATATAATGTAAAGACAGATAGCTTGAGATGACAATAGTTACTTGCAAATTAACAGATAATAACTAAGGTAGCTGTTGGCATGAGTTGCATTCATGATAAATCTCTACATCTCTTTGTAGTGCAGCTGCTGCAGTCCTGCATCTACAGGATGATATGCATCGTCATCTTTATGAAATTTGAGTACAGCTCCTACGATCGGATACTGCGTAGTTCTCTTCTTCCTGGGCTTAGCTTTCCCCAGAATCTGCAAATATGGCAGATCAAGTGGCATAACTTGTTACATGACATATCATTAATGACAATAATATTATGTGGAAGTAGTGTCAAAAGTTTGAATGCCTAATATGATGAAGAGAATAGACCGTTAAATGCTGACCTTCTTAAACTTTGCTGTCACCTTGCTGGCCAGTGTGGTCCTATTTTGTGACATGTACTCCCTCGGTTCTTGAGAAGCCAAAGTTTCCGTCTTGTCCGCCTGTCAATGAACAAAATCATAGCAATCAAGTAAACTGCCTCTAGATTTTCTCTAACCCATGCTGGAAAGAATATAGACGAGGTTCGTTATCTCATCCGTTTCGACTTAGCACGTGTTAGCTACTTGCAAAAATGGAATGCAAATTATGTAAATGTAATGCATCAAGGACCATTTCAGCGATGCCACTTACCGTGGAGTTGGTTTCCTCTGCTTCTTTCCTTGTTTCATTTAGGTCTTCATTGGCTGCATCTTTCTTCTCAAGCAGCGATGAGACCTTCTTGGACGTACCATCTTGTTCCATATCCATGTACTAAGTGACCAAAAACTAGTATTGTTTTGAATGTAGGGCTTGTTGCTTTGCAAAAACTGTAGGATTAGTTAGGCCTATTTATAGGCCAAATGGCTCTTGAAAAGCATTACCTTGCTTGAAGTATATATTTTGCATGAAAAAAAAAACCGTGGTACCTTTCATTACTTGTGGCTGCCCCTAATAATGTCATCAGTTTCTTCAGTTGCTATTCAGGTTTTCCGGAAGCAGTTGATACTTGATACTTTTGAATAGGAGGTTCACATGGATTTATTTGGCCAGATCTCATCTTATAGAATCCTGTTTTCTTTAATATGGTCTTTTTCCGTAGTTTAAGGAGAAAAGGTGCACATAGTTTTTCTTCTAAGCAGTTACTTTTACTGGCTGTTTTCAGTTACTCCCTTTCCTGTCCTGAATTTCTGCACCTTTGTCTTGTGAAGCGTTGTTGCTTCTTAAGACCTGAATTACTGGCACTGAGCTGGTTGCCAGTTCGGTTCCTTCTCTGTTGGTTAATCTTGTTTTTGTCAACAAGGGTTGCTTTATATCATGTGGGTGTCCCTAATAACATCATTCTCTACTTCTAATCAGCCAAGAGTTTCAACATAGTTTTTATTACAAAATTTCATGTACCATTGTTTGTGGAGAAGTGTATGACTTGTTTCTGGCCCACTTTTGCTCTTTTTATTTGTTGGCTGCCAAGGCCAGCTTTAGTTATTATTGTCTTGTGTTGTCAAATAAAAGGGAAAAACATGTCTGCTACAAAAAATGCATTTGTTTGAGGGTTTCGAAGAGCAAAATTGAAGTCTCTTTCTTGAAACAGAAACACGATGTTTCCTGTTCAGTCAGCCAGTCTATTACAAATGTTCACTGCCTGTGCCTAGTGCCATTTCTTTCATGAACTACAAGTTTCAAGCATCAAATTGTCTGTTTAGGCAATCATAACATGAATATGCTCTTGGCTCCATCTTGATGACATTTTAGCATGCTCATATCCTCTCTATGACATTTTAGCACAGCCTCACTAGCGTGCAATCCATATATTAGCAAGATTAAATTATGGTAATATATGCTGAGCCTTGTGCACCTTTGCCAAAGATCCTGGATAGGTTTCAAAAACAAGAAAGAACAAAATTAAAGGGCTGGAACGTAAATAAATGGCAATAAAGATAAAGCATATTTCTCTTTCCCTCAACAAAACCAAATTTTTGATTTCTTATGTAAAACAAACAAAGGCGAGACATGCAAAAACAAGTCATTGCAAACCAGCACCTAACAACTGCAATCATGGTCTTGCATGAGTAAAGAAAATGTTCTTGGTGTTCAATATGATTAAAATAAACATAAAGCAAAATGCCTAGTGTATGCTAATTTAAAAGTGGCATAGTGTAGAAATAAATCTTTAAACTAAAGGGTTATATATTGAGAAATAGAAAAATAAACTGAGGCAAAATGAATAGTGGTGTGTCTATAGTCACCACACTACTATAGAAATCTTTTCTAAAGACAACTCTGATTTCTAGTGGAGGAGAATGGCATAAAAACCGCCTGTAACTAGGGTGGGGAGCACAATAGCTCGCAAACTGCCCCAGGAAATCAAATTTCAGGGGCGGTTTCATTAAGAAAACCTCCCCATAGATGTCTCCATTTTTAGCGGTGGTTGCCATAACAGAACTGCTCCTTGAAAATAGAATTTCAGGGGGGGTAGTCTTAACCAAACCGCCTCTAGAGAAACAAGATTTTCAGGGCTGGTGTTGTTAAGAGAACCGAGTCTTGAATTGATTAACTGGGGTGGTTCCCTTAGTCAGCCGGTCATAAAAAGAACTCCCTACAAATACCCTTCATCCTCCTCGACCATGACTGTAGCAGGTCATGCATGACTGTAGCTATTCATGTCATTGCTGAGTTCACTTGGAGGCAAGAAATTACAAAATTAGATGGTGGAGGTTTTGCCCTATGAATTTCTGAAGGAGTTGGGTTTAATATGTAAGTTTATGCCACCCCTAACGTCTTTACAAAGATTACTTACATTTCTTTCACTAATTTTTGTCCAAGAATGAAAATAGAGGCATTTGATTTGTCCTAGAATTGCCTTGATTTTGATCAATCCAATGAGATTTTCATATCGTTTTCATAGATGTGATTGATGGAATTCTGGCAGGTGTTACGGCGCTGCCTTGAGACCTGCAGGAGTGGCTCCCACTCAAGCCCCCGCTCAGTGACCATCGTATGCGTACAACATATAGATTGTTATGGTAACATATTTGACATCACATGGTTGTATCTGGTTCTCTCCTATTAACTTGTTTTGTGGGAAATGTTGCGAATACAATGGCCCAAGTGTATATGTGATTCATGTGGGTATTTTTTGTGGCATGCATGTCACATTAATCACAACCGGGTAGAGATTGTTCAATCAAAGCATAACGTCCTGCGTGTCAACTTGTAATTCTTTTACTAGTTATTAGAAGTTTTTGATCAAGAAGCACAAAAGCATGATGGCTCAAAGGACTGGAAACTTGACAATGGAGATCATTATGAGAAAGTCCATACTATCTCACATGTCAAGAGATTATCCTGTGATGTTTTTATTTTCATGTCATACTATTCTTTCATAGTTTATATGTGGTAGAATAGCTAGCCTCCCACCAAAAAATTAAGACTTTCTTTATATGCCCTTCCAATTGATGCACCTACAAGGATTGAGGCGTTCTAAGTAGCCTTGCTGACCTTACAACAACCCGAAATGCACCAACCGTGACAGGATCCCTCCCAGGCAATGTTTTGCACCAAGAATATTATTGTCGGCATTGTAATCGTATCCTCTTCAACAAGTCCACACGTACAAGCAGCAACTTTATGCTACCAACTAATTCATGTTGTGCACCTTATAGCACACAAATTTCGTTAACTATAATTTATGGATGCGAAATAGTTACTTAACTGCAGAATGAAGTTAATAAGACCATTAAAACAGATGAAAATGCAAAAAGGTAAACTAGAAAATTCAAAGAGTTCAAGTTATCTGCTCCAACACACTTGACTTGTAAACTCATCCTGATATAGTGACCTATCTTTGACACACTGAGGATCTTTAACTTTCCATGTTAGATCTAAGTATCCATGCATCATATTCATTTAAACATCATATCTTTTCAATGTTTCATTGCTTACAATATACCTTTTTTCTTCAAATAATGAAAACACCATCATCTTAAGAGTAACCATGGACAATCAATTCTTTCAATAGCAGATTATATGATAACTCACTTTGCACCAAGGAGTACAACATAATAGCGGACTGACATGATGACACAATATAATGAAAGGACAGATAGGCTGAGATGACAATAGGTACTAGCAAATTAAAGATAACTAAGGTAGCTCTTGCTATGAGGTGCATTCATGATAATTCTCTCCGTCTCTTTGTTGTTCAGCCCCAGCATGCAGATCCAGCATCTTCAGGATCCACGTCATCATCTTTATGAAATTTGAGTGTAGACGTTACGATCGGATACATCGTAGTTCTCTTCTTCCTGGGCTTAGCTTTCTGCAGAATCTGCAATACGGCAGATCAAGTGGCATAACTTGTTACATGACATATCATATATGATAATAATACTCTATGGAACTAGGATCAAAAGTTTCCATCTTGTCACCTTGCCGACCTTCTTAAGTGTTGCTTTCACCTTGGTGGCCAGTGTGGTCCCCTTTTGTGACAAGTACTCCCTCGGTTCTCCAGAAACCAATGTTTCCCTCTTGTCCATCTGTCAATGAACGAAATCATAGCAATCAAGTAAGCTGCCTAGATTTTCTTCAACCCATGATGGAAAGAATACAGATGAGGTTTGTTATCATCTCATCCGTTTCGACTGAGCACATCAACCCTACTTTACTCACTACCGGAAACGTCAAATTTGCCGAGTGTTTTTATGTTTGCCATGTGTATTCTCTCGGGCACTCGGCAAACAAGTTTTTTACCGAGTGCTGCGCTAAATTATGTAAATTATGTAAACGTAACGCAATAAGGACCGTTTCAGCGCTGCCACTTACCGTAGTGTTGGTTCCCTCTGCTTCTTTCCTTATGGCTGTTAGGTCTTCATTGGCAGCATCTTTCTTCTCAAGCAGTGATGAGACCTGGGCACACCATCTTGTGCCATATCCATGTACTGAGTGACCAAAAACTAGTATTGTTATGAATGTAGGGCTTGTTGCTTTGCAAAAACTGTAGGAGTGGTTAGGCCTATTTATAGACCATATAGCTCTAGGTAAGCGTTGCTTGAAGTTTGTATTTTGCATGAAAGAAAATCATGCTACCTTTCATTGCTTGCGTGGCTGCCCCTTAGGTTATCAGTTTCATCAGTTGCTGTCCAGGATTTCTGAAAGCAGTTGATACTTTTGAATAAAAGGTGGTTCACATGGATTTCTTTGGCCAGATCTCTTCTTATGGAATTCTGTTTTGATGATTTTTTTTCCTTGGAGGAGTTACTAGTAGCCGCACATAGTTTTCTTGTAGCAGTTACTTTTACTGGCTGTTTTCAGTTACTCCTTTTACTTTCCTGAATTTTTGCATCTTTGTCTTGTGAAGCGTTGTTGCTTCTTAGGCCCTGAAATTACTTTCCATTTAGAAGATTGCCCTTTGGATTCCTTGTCTTTTGGTTAATATTCTTTTTGTCCATCACAGCCATCTTATGCTGGAGGCTTGTGGCGCACATAAACTTCACGTCCTTACAATTAGGAATCAAATGGCCCCTGCCACTCTGAACTGACATCAACCGCCAACACTATCAAGCATCATCGGGAATGCCCACTACTGCAATCTGACACTAATGTGCATTAGCCACAATGAGTTAATAGGCAAACTTATAGAGATTCAATACGGTGGAGTAATAAAATGAAAAAAGGGAACTGCTAGCGTCCGGATGTCCGGATGGACGCCCGCGGCTGTTGGCCTGCTGCGCTGCTTGCCTGCCTGCTTGCTTGCCGGCCTACCCGCCGGCTCACCCGCGCTGCTCCGTGGGGACCACCATCGCCCACCTTGCTTCCTGCGCGCATGTGGGGATCGCCTGCGGCTGCGGGACCGCCTCCGTCTGCGCCCGCTTCCCTTGCCTGCTCGTAACATGTGCAATATTATGATTTACTTTTGCAACATCTAGATGAAACACATGCAACATACGTCAGAAATAGTTGAAACACTTGCAACATACGTTTGAAACACTTGCAAAAAATACCTAAAAACACTTGAAAATCATTGCAAACATATGCAATATCCAGATAAAACAATTGCAACATATGTGCGAAACATATGCACATCCAGATAAGCACACTTGCAACATATATCTAGAAAAACAAATGAAACATTGGGAACAGACGCTTGCAACATATGTGTGCAACCACTATGCAGCAGCCTGATCTACTTTTGCAACATCTATATGAAACACTTAAAACATAGATCTGAAACAATTGAAACACTTAAAACATAGTGTTGCAACATGTCTGAAAAGGCCTGAAACACTTAAACACAACGTCCCGGCGGCCATGGCCTACCTGGTGGGGAACTGTAGTGGCTAACAAGCTCGGATCAGGAGGACGTTAAGAACAACAGCCCAGCGTACACCTCCGCTGCTGGACTTCCCATCCTTCCATGGTGTCTTCGGCTGGCCGCAGGAGACGTTGTAAAGGCCGGCGATGACCTCCTACTGGTGGTGTCGGGTTGGTGGTGGCCCAGTGACGCCATGGCCATGACCGATGTGATGGAGTGGGGCGCGGCAGGGGATGGGCCACAGCGCGGTGGGGGCAAGAGCACGACGCGGCGCGGTAGGGGAAGGGGGCGCGTCGGGATGGAGTGGGGCAAGCCGCGAGCGGATGCGAGTTTGAAGAAGAGGCAGAGCAGCAGACGGTGTCGGTGGAAGGCTGAGAAATATGTGGATAAGAATTAACATAGAGAATGAGTGGTTGAGACGAGCCTGGAATCCGTCTAATATTTTTGGGAGGGCCAGACGCTAGGGTTGCCATTTTCGATGGAAAAATGTGTTTTAAGCATAACATACCATTTCTATGTTACTAAAGGAGTAGTCATCAATGGCATTATCAAGACTTATTATAAACCAATAGTTGCATATAGAAAGGTTTAATTAGATATAAATTTTATGTTCAGGATACTTCTATAGGTACTAAAGCTTTAATTTCCAGCTATGTGCTATCTAGAGGATATAATAAATCTCCAAAATAGCATTGCTACAGCTAGCATTCTATTTGTTTAAAGCACTGATATTTGCTAGGCTCTAAAAATGGAAAGGATTTCCTTTTGTACGAAAATTTGATGAACTAATAAATATATAAAAAATAAAGACTTCCTAACAATCGTCTGTTTGTTAGACACCGTGCACACACTCCCGTGTATCATCCATGTGCATCATAGGAGTATGGCTTATGGCACATTCCAAATTCTCCCCGCTCGTCTGTGACGACACACCAGATCTTCACATGGTATATGTCAACCTAGCAATGTGCCCACACGTTGTTATCATTCTAAATTGAAGTGAATTAAATAGGGGGAGGCGAGGAGGTTGTGCATCAATCAAAACAATGGTACGCACAACGAGTCATTTCATCTTCCTTTTATTTCTGTGTTTTTCGATCTCTTTGTCTCTTTTCATCTCTCATTATGTTAGGCACCTCCCACGACTAGGAATGCATTGAATTTTTATTTTGTATTTTTAGGAGGTGGAAAAAATGAAAATCATGATGGAGAGGAGGAGCGAAATCAAAGGGAGGTTGTTGTCTTCCGTTTTTTTCAACAAAGCAAATTGATCTATGTGCTGGTGTGAATCCAATGATTTTTTGGTTAGTATTCCTTATGTTACAGGGAGAGAAAGGTGCAGAACAAGAGGAGACACATGCTGAGGCAAGGCTTTATTTTGCCCTGTTTTGCAAGGCCAATTTTGCCTTTGCCCCATGTGCCCCTTACATCTTAGAATAATATGTGTATTTTAAGGGAGAGGTCCTACAAAATAGATTCTGACTATTAATTTCTCATACAAAATAGATTGTCATGGCACAAGAATAGCATGGGACATGGGTCGTGCCTGCATGGGCACGAGTAAGAATGGGCCAAGTGGTCTTTCTATATGGGCCATATGTAAGTGGTCCACAGTTATGTATCTTGCTATCCAATGTTTAGGCCCTTATGTGCTCCTCGCCTCCTCAATAATCAAGCTCCCCATAGATTTTTTTCACGAAAAAGCTCCCCGTAGATCAAGGTGTCTCCATGGCTGTTGGCGGATGTGGCAGTGGGACCAGCCCGGGGGAGGCATCTATATGGGACATATGCTGGCGCACAATGAATAACGTAATTCACATTAGGTGACATATTGAATACTATTTAGCTACATTGTGGCTTCCTTTATGTCATCGAAGATCATGCATTGCTTTATGATGTTTGGTTTAGTTACAGTTCCCTCCAGTTTTATGTCAATAAAGTGCATAGACTTGTCAATAAATCTTGCAGATTAAGCTTATGTTAATTGGATCGATCTTAATTTTAGTAGCTGCTGATGTAGCTGTTGACAACCAAAATTGTCCAAAGGAGGTGATCCAAGATGGGCCTGCACAAACCTGACTAAGTCAGTTTTCTAACTTTGTCAAAATGTACAATGGAGACTCTACCATTTTGTTTCTCTCATGGAGATGATAAAAAAACATGTATAAAACGTCCAATTTAAAATCTAGATGAAGAAAATGCAATTTCAGGGATGAATTCACTTCAACGACCAGAAACTGGCCTGAGCCGGTTTTCAAACCAACCTAGGCCAGTTTTTCAACTCCTCAATTGCAAATTGAACTTTACGATTATGTTCCTCTTATTGAGATAATCGAAAAAAATATACCCGCGAAGTTTTGGCCTGCTAGGCTGTTTTCTGGGCTGTCAAAACCGGCCCATGTAGATTTTTGCTATCCAGTTTGGATTAGAGATGCGTTTTGATGAGATTTGCAAGAGATTTTGATCTCCCATGAGATAAGTCCACCCACCCTTTATATATATATAAAGGACCATCACCGATATAGCAGAGGACAATGGACCAAATCATAAATCAATCAACTTTTTACCTACTCCAATCTCTTCCAACACATTACTATGATTCTCCTCTCTTCATCAAAAGATCAAGGTTTGTGCCATTGGCTTTCTAGCTGACCATAGGCAACCCATTGATGTCTTCGCCTTGACCAGGTCCCTCCCAGGCAAGAGCTTCGACGATTCCTCTGTTAGTTTGCTTGGAAATACCGTTCTTCATCACGTAACTGTGATAGCTATTCTTTGTTATTTTGTTCGTAGACCTTGCGATTCCTTATTGCAAAGTGTTGACACTCAAAAATGTCCTAAGGTGATTTTGCGCACCATGAATAAGTTATAAACATCTTGGAGGTCAAACGGTGTAGCAAAACAACAAAGAAATCGCACGGAGAAGGCGGTGAGACACCGGTGAGCCAAGTCAGTCGGCTAGGCCGACTTCTTAGTCGGCTAAGCCGGCTCCTTCCCCCCTCCAGTCGGCTTAGCCG